GAGGAATGTCCCTTCTATTCCTATTTTGCTGAGAGTTTTGATCAGAAATGGGTGTTGGATTTTATCAAATGCCTTTTCTGCATCAATTGATAAGGATAGTCTTTTTAAGAACTTGTGCTGGAATAACCATCAGATACCCATATGCCAAAATAAACAAGAACTTGCATCATATACATAAATTAACTTTAATTGGATCATAGAGCTAAATGGAAAGGTTAAAACTATAATGCATATAGAAGAAAATATAGCAGAAAATCTTTATGACATTGAAACTGAGTGGAGTCAAAGTTCAGCCTGGATCCCCAGTTGAAGACAGATAAGTAAAAATGATAACTCAGTTCCTTAAGAACTGAATAGGATGAAAGCTCAACTATTCCCCCACCCTGGTTAAGACAGATAGGACCCCGGATGGAGACAAATAAACAAACATAATAACTCAGTTCCTTAAGAACTGAATGGAACAAAAAGTCAATTTACGTGTTTTTTCCATGCTATCCCTGTAGAAACAGGTGATAAGCACATTAATGTGTCTCAGGAGACAACTTGAAAATTAACTTTGGCCTGCGGACATGTGCAGTGAGACAAACAGAACAAAGTTGCTCAGAACTGACATTCTCCCCTCTGTCTAAGCCCGGATCAGCTGATAACAGGAAGCTGGTGTGACTCATCTGTTGCGTAAGCATACTGCATTAAAAAACAGCTGTCCCTTTAAACTGAGGCGAAGGAAATTTCAGCCAATCGTCAGCTTATTCACAATGAAATTCCTGAAGTTTTTACAAATATATATATAACCCTCTCTCCTGAAATTTACAAAACTATAACTCGATCTGGATTCGGGGAGTCAGATGAGGGTACGGGCCCTATTTCCTTGCACTGCTGCTTTGCAATAAATTATTTTTTCTCCTCTTAATCAATCAGGCTGTAAAATGTTTTGGCCTAACTTCACACTGGGCAGGGACCCAAGTTTTGGACCAATTTCAACATGGATTTAGGCAAAGATTTCTTTGATATGATTCTACATTTCATTGTATTTATTTATTTATTATTTATTT